ATTTTATTCAATCCAGGACATGTAGGAACCCACAACCCCATAGCTAAAGATACTTATGAAAGAGAATTTCAGAACTGCTTCAGAAAGTGGCAAGAATGGTGGGATGTGTGTATGTTTGTTTTGTGTTTTGGTGCTGAGGATTGAACCCGGGGCCTCACACTTGATAGGGAAGAAATCTACCACTGAACTGAATTCTCAACACCTGAGACAAGTGTGGTTGAAAAGAGGGAGAGTATTTTGAGTGAGATTAATAATAATATGAATTTCATTGTAATAATCTTCAAAACAATTTTAAATCACCTCGTATAGGTCCTGAACTCATTTTTTTTTTTTACCCATGGGAGGTGTCTGTTTTCTGATGAAGGGATATTAAAGTTTCCAATTATATTAGTGTGTTCATTTATTCCTCAAAATTCTGTTTCTGTCTCACGTAGTTTGATGCTTTTGTCAATCATATATACATTGAGATAATAATCGCTTATTATCAATATATTTCTTTATGCTCTGTAACTTTTTGCTCTGACATTTGGTTCATTTATCCTTTATATTAACCACTACTTTTTAAAAAATTAATGTTAATGTAGGTCAATCAGTCATCCCTCCCTTTCTCCCTTTCCCTCCCCTCCCCCTTCTTTTCTTTTCTCTCTTTTTCTTTCTCTTTCTTTCCTACAGACAATAATCTAAGTACTTTGTGGTGATGTTATACTCACTGTATAGCCCTGGGTAGTGTTCAGCTTGGGACGGTCCTGCTGCTTCAATTTCCCTAGTGCTGGGATTACAGGCACCAGCTACCACATCCAGCATAGTGTAGTGTATCTTTATTTCTTCATTTTCTTAAGAAAAAAAAAGTTTGTTTTGGTACCTGCAATTTTTTTTGTGTGTATTTTTTTTTTTTTTTTTTTTTTTTGAGATGGGGTCTCGCAATGCAGTTCAGGTTGGCCTTGAGCTCACTTTGTAGACCTGGCAGGTCTTGAACTCACAACAATCCTCCCACCTCAGCCTCCCGAGTGCTGGGATTACAGGCGTGAGCCACCACCCCAGCAGTACCTGTAATTGAACTCAGGATCTTTTGCTTGTCAGGCAGGCGCTTTGCTGCTGAGCTGTCTATATCCCTGGCCCAAGTTGCAGATGTCTGATTCACTCTGACAGTGTTCATTTTCTGTTGGTGTGCAACTGATGTTAAAGGTGATTATTGAAATAGGTTAATAGGACTATATTCATTACTTATTTTCTGGTTTTATTCCTCTTGGTTTTGTCTTCTACATTGTTTCTGTCTTTCATGATTTCCATTTTCTTCCTTATTTTTATTAGTTAAAAATCAGCCCAGTTAATCCTATTGATTCCAGTACAGTTAATCCAAGTCCACTTTGAAATCACACCAAATGGCAAGTACTTCCTGGTAACAAATGTTTCTGTTATCTTTAATTCCTTGTGTAATTGCTGCTGTTTACTTAACACATTCATAAGTTTTGCATATGTGTATATAAATAATCATGTGCTTTGTTGCTATTTTGAACAAAGAGTTGTTAAATTAATGAAAAAAATAAAGAGCATGCACATGGTACCCTAGTAAAATAAGGTGTCAAATGGATCTTCAGTGATACAGTGATGAGGTACCAGTGAAGAGAAAGCTTTCTGTTTTCCTATCATTTTCAGCTGTGGTCTTTAAATGAGTCTGTGTCCCTAGATCATGAGCTTCCTAAGTCTTTTTCAGCTTTCGCCCTTTCCTTAGGTGGGACAGGATGTCTGTGGAGGGTGAGCGAAGTGTGTGTTTTCCTTCCCACAGTTTGTTAGGCCTTGTTAACTAGTCTCAGAACAGGCCTTGTTTAACAGTACTTTGGACAGCTCAGAAAGATTCTTTGTCCTTGGGTAAAGTGCTAGCGGTCTTCTTCTGAATTCACAGTGAGAACCTGCTAGAGCTTCAGGGGTACATTGACAGATGTGAGGTCCCCTTGGACAGGGTCTTAGACTGTGTCTCGCTGAGTTTTTCTTCCCATATTTAGTCTGTCTCAAGCCCATGGTGTCACCAGATACAGTTTTCGTTTCTTTCTATGGTCCTGGTTCCTGTGGAGGTTTCTGTTGGTAGATTTCTGGTCAGATTAAGTTTTGTAACCCTGATTTTGTATTAATCTATCCGATTTTGGGATAGGTATTTTTTCTGTGTTCTTCTTAAAAGTAGATGATTTTTACTTGCTTTAGGATGAAGACCGTTAAACTCCTTGCCTAGAAACTGAAACTGAAATTCCTTATGTAGGCTTTAAGAAAAAAAAAAATTGCTTTTGTTTTTTGAGTTTTTTTTACAAGTTTTTTTTAACTTATTCTTTCTTCAGTGGTATATATTTTTCTCTAAATACTGTTGTGCAAATTTCCATATTTTTGTTTTTGGACTTTTATTTGGTTTTTTTTTTAAAGTCTCTCAGTTTTTCTTTTGATTTCTTTGATCCATAGGTTACTTAGAAGTATGTTCTTTAATTTTGAAATAATTTGAGTGTTTCTTTTAATGTTTTTCATTTTTAGTTTAATAACGTTTATATAGTTTCATTCCTTTTTAATTTGTTGGTACATTTATGACACAGGACATGAATTATCATGTTACATGGGCTTTGTGCTTATCCAAAGATTATGTATTTCTGTTTGCATGAAATTTTCCCACATGAGTCCGGTCAGGCTAATTTATAATATATTCCCTCAGCCCCCAACTAATTTTTGAGCCACAGTTTGCATTTTTGTGTTTCAGGCTGGCTTTGCATTCAAGGCAGTCCTTTTGGTTTAGACTCCTAACTTCTGGAGTTGTAGGGTTGCTCTGATGCACCTGTCCTGATTTAGTATTTGCTCATTTGTTTTTCTATTTCCTCAGCTATTGTGAAGGATGGTCATGGACTTCCTCCTATATTAAACCCTGCACCCTTCATTATTTTAAAGATCTTTTATTAGGTACAGAAACTTTTAGATTTTTTTGAGACAGGGTCTCACTCCATAGTTCAGGCTGGCCTGAAACTCACTATGTAGCCCAAGCTAGCCTCATACTTACTTCCTGCCTCTTGCCTCAGCCTCCTGAGTGCTTGAATTATGGTTGTGCATATAGTGCCACATTTGGCTAGGTACACAAACATTAGTGATTTTCTTACTTTTTTTTATGAATAAAACACCTGGTTCTGTTAATATTCTTTGTTTTGAAATCTAGTTTGATATTAATAGCAAAAATTCCGTTTGCTTTTGATTTAGTTAGCTTGATATTTTTTCTCATACTTTTATTAATCTTGTATTTTTTCTGTATTTGTATATTATAAATGAGTTTCTTTGGAATTATCTATAGTGAAGTCTATTCATTGTTGCAGTATTTTTTTCTTTTAATCAGAGTATTTAGAGAACTTGAATATAATGTGATTATAGTATATATATTGTCACATATTAAGTATATTTTGTGGTACTGAAAGTTGAACCCAGGACCTTTGCACTGAGCTACACTCTCAGCCTTTTTGTTTTTTTAAATTCAAGAGTAGGAAAATTTATTGGAGAAAAGGAATGGAGAATTGAAATAGGATAGGTAATGGGGAGTAGGTATAGCTCCTGAGAGACAGGAGTAGTCCTGAATGGGTTGCTCTATATCCTCAGCCATTTAAACTATTTCTTAATTTAAAAAAATTTTTTTTCCTAATATCTTTTGAGGTAGAGTCTTGCTAAATACTAAATTGTCAGGCTAGGCTCAAATTTATAATCCTCCTGCTTCCCAGGGTGTTGAAATTATAGGCACACACCACCACACCCACCTATATGGTTGTATTTTAATCTACCATTGTTCCTTTTGAACATGAATTTTGCTAAAAATGCCAGTGCTTTTGAAACTTGATTTTATTGTTAGTATCTTATTTTTCAAATTTTTTGGCTTGTTAATAATGAGTGGTGGCTATACATAGGAAACTTATATTTGTTCATATTCAGATAGTTTCACTTTTACACCAGAGATTACTGATAGCTGCATCACAAAAATATTTATTCAAAAAACTTGATGCCAGTTATGATTAAGGTGCTTGGTGAACTTTAAATACTGTCATTATCCCAGATTTTTGAGTAAACTGAACAGAGGTATCGAGTTTCTTGCCCCTGTGGACCTTATAAACATTTGCAATATGTTGAATAATGTATATTTATTGTGAGATACTTTCATAATCACTTAATTTGCTACTCTTTGGATAGATCTTATTTAAAATGATTACTAGAAACTAGTTATTTAAGTAGGTCTTTATTTTGCTCTTTTCCTTACCCATATCTAGATCAATAGGGGTGATTGAGAATCAGCTTTAGGGATAGTAATAAACTTTTGACTGCAATATATAACCTTTTTTCCAACTAATACTTGAAAGAAATGATTTCTCTTTTAAAGGCTTTTTAATTCACTCTTTTTTTGAAAAGGAGTTTCTACCTGAAGTTTTCAGAAAAATCCTGCCCTATATCCATTAGATTATGAGGCCCTTGCCTTATGGATAGTTTATCAGTAGACTTGTAGCACCCTAGATTTCTCTTAAGTTACTGTCTTCATGTTTTAAACACTAAAGTTTCTCGTAATTTTGTGTCTAGAAAGTAGTATGTTCTTGTTGAAAACGAGTTTTTTGAGAAATGCATACTTTCAGAGTTGGTTGTGGCTCACTTACCTATTTGACTAATGGGTACTTTAATTCCTGCAGTCTGACCCTCCAACTACTCTAAATTATTTATACTGATTTTGAAAAAGTAGTAGTAGGGCTAGGGATTTTGTAGCTCAGTGGTTGAACACATGCTTAGCAAGCAGAAAGCTTTGGGTTGGACCCTCGTATTGCAAAAAAAGAAAAAAAAAGTCATAAGAGTTAAAAATAACGGTTTTTACATGATTTTCTTTAGTAGAATGACTTATTTGTGAAAGTATAAGTTCAGTAGTAATAATGTGCAATTTATTACTTTCTGTGGCCAAATGTAATTGTTTTTTCCCCCTTTTTAAATCTTTCTTTGAATCAAAATGCTAGACTTACACAAGCACTAGCAACAACTCTATATCTGGATCATTGAAGCGCTTGGAAGATACTGCAGCAAGATTTACAAACGCAAATTTCCAAGAAGTCTCTGCACACACCTCCAGTGGAAAAGATGTTTCAGAACCTAGAGGTTCAGAGAGCAAAGGGAAGAAGTCTTCAGCTCACAGCTCAGGTCAGAGGGGAAGGAAGCCTGGTGGTGGAAGAAATCCAGGAGTGACTGTGTCAGCAGCTAGTCCTTTTCCTCAAGGTATTAATTATGAGATTTTAGTTAAAATACCCATTTGATAATGGTGAATCATAATTCTGTAAAAGAATTTTAAACTTTAATTAATTAATGGATCGTTCAGGAATATTATGTAATTAGCTGATGTAGTAAGATTACTTCAAAGACTAGTATTTCCTATTCAATCATTTCTGGAACTTTTACTTTCTTTGGGCATGGTCGAGCATGCACCGATAGTTCCAGTACTTGGAAGGCCGAAGGTAGGAGGAGTTTGAGGCCAATCTGGGCTACATAATGAATTGTAGGTTGTTCCGCACCACATAGTGAGCCCTTGGCTATCCCTAAAAAGAAAAAGGAAGGAAAATATTGTGGAGAAAAACAAACAGATTTTTTTTTTTTTTGGCTTTTCTGTTTTCTGTGTATTATGACTTCGTTGGGCTTGAAGGTTTTCAGCTCCCAGAGGTGGATGGGTGTGTGTGTCCCTCTGTCCCTTATATAACAAAAGATTAGACATGTGCAACAGAAAGACAATGCCATATTTACCAAAATGTATATTGTTACTTTTATACAATTTTATAAAACATTGAAACCTTAACTAGCATTAAATGTAACTTAGGGGCCAGGAATATGTATAGCCTCAGCAGGAGAGTGCTTGCCTTGCAAGTGTGAAGTCCTGAGTTTGACTTCTGGTTTAAATCCCCTTCCCATAAAAGTAACGTAATTTACGCTTTGACAGTGGTATTAGTAGAATTCAGTGAGTATTTCTGTAATTAAGGCGCTTTCTTTTTCCCTGTCTGATTTTGAGACAGGCTTCTACTATGCATTTCAGGTTGGCTTTAGGCTCAGTTTATAGTTCAGGTTGGCCTTGAACTTCCATCCTTTTGCCTCAGCTTAAGTGGTGCGATTACAGATATGCGCCACCACACCTGGCCCTACGACCTTATTATTCATTGTTAAATTACATTTTTAAACTTTTAAACTAAGAAGTAGCGATCCATTTGAGAAAGCGGTCTCCCATGTTTTGGAACTTTACAGTATTGAAGAGTCTTGCCAGCCTCTGTTAGGATATGGTAGAAAATGTGCTATATTTTGATATTTGAAATAATCTAAAAGTTTTAAACATTTACACCTAAAATATTTAAGAGAATTGATTGTTTTTCTCATAGCTAGTGGTATATGATTTTTAGAATAGACACATTTATATTAAGGTATTAAGGTATATATTATATTTACTTTAGTGTGTTTTTCACACTAACTATAAAAACAGAAAAATGTAGGCAGTGTACACTTGTAGTCCCAACACTTGGGAGGCCAAGGCAGGAGGAGGATCTCTGTGAGTTTGAGGTCAGCCTTGATTCTATAGTGAGACTCAAACCCCCTACCCACTGCCTCACCTCCAAAACATGGTGACAGATTAGAATGGACTGTAAAAACTTATTTATAGATGTTGTTGATGTGGCAAATTGCAGTTAACTCAAATGCTTGATGCAGTATAAATGTCCCACCAACACACATGGCAGATTTTCATTTTTATTTCAATAAAGTTACGTACTAGGCAGAATGGGGTCACTTGAACCTCCTAGGATAGAGTTGAATGAGAGCATGCGCCAGCAGGATGGAAGGAGAGGCATGCAGGGACCTTGGATCTAGGAGTGGGAGCCCCTAGGGGTTCCAAGGCATAGGGGGATCTGAGAAGCCAACCAGCCACACACAGAGGCAGAATGATACTAAGGGGGAGAAGAGACCAGAGCCTGAAGAGTGCAGCTCCCTGAGGGATGCAAAGCTCCCAGGAGATATAAATGCCTTCTTTTTTTGTTTTTTCTTTTTCCTTTTCCTTTTTATCAGTACCGGGGATCGAACTCACGACCGCCTGCTTGCGAAACAGGTGCTTATGCTGCTGAGCTAAATCCCCAGTCCCTATAAATGCCTTCTTAGTGTGTTTGTTTTTCTAGATAGATGCCTGAAAATGCCCACATAAGAATAAACAACTTAAAAACTAATGTAACAGATGTAGTCATGAAAAAGTTGAGTTTTAGAATTATGAATATTGTTTTAAAAGAAGCTGTTTCAGAAGAGATTACAACCTAAAAATCAGACTGAGTGTGTTGGGGCATGCCTGTAATATGTGTGATTTTAGCAGTTGGGAGGCTGAGACAGGAGAACCACCATAATAAGTTCAAGGCCAACCTGGGCTACAGTGAGTCTAAGGCCACTCTGAACTGTATAGCAAGACCCTGTTTCAAAACCAAACAAAACTTAAAAATCAAACCTTGAGAAGGCAATTGTAAATAAAATTTTTGTATATAAGGGAAAATCTTTGCAGATACCTAGGTGGTTTTACATAATATTTATGAATATAATCTGCAATAAAATTTAACCCTTGGTTTACAGTTAATTCCCTTTCCACTCTAGTAAAATAATTTTATTTTCAACTTCGGTTTCCAGAACACTTTGGTTTAAATACAATATAGTTTTATGAAACTTAATAGATATGTGGCCACAACTGAACCTGTACACCTATTATCATTTGGCAAGCAGGGAAGAGCTTCACAAAATACCAACCTTGAGGTGGTTCTTTGCCTGATGGCATGGCAGGCTATGGGTGTTCTTTGATGAGATGAGAGAAAACAAGTATTTCTAAAAGAGGCTCACGAGAGCTTCCTCTTTATAAAAGCAGTGGGAGAGTGTTAGAGGCTGGTTGATGCAGCTCTTCAGAAAGTCACCATGTGGAGTCAGGATTGTATCATGTCCTGGTGAATCACAGAAGTCACTAATTTGTCTTCAAAAGTAAAAATAAGAACTTACAACAACTTAAGAAACGTGTCTTGCTCTTACTGCATATTGGGAGCATTTATCAGCATATTTTTGGTATTTGATAAAGAAGGTACCCCAGACTTGGCTAGTCAGTTTGTACTCTTGTGAGGTCTTCTTGTCCAGCCACCAGAAGGAGACTTTGCAGCCTCTCAGTCCTTTCTGCAACATACACAAGGTGTTTGGGGCACTAAGGAACACTATGGTAGCAGATAGATTTTTAGAAGCATGTACTTATATCTTCGTGTTTGGATAAATTATAGCTTGCAATCCAAGAGGTAATTATTTACTGCTTCCTATAAAATGATAAATACAAAAAATAATTTTAGGATAAACTTTGATTTCAGCAGTAACCTTTTTTAAATGTAGCTGTTTTCTGATGATTTTATCACATCCCCTGCTCATGGGAACTTTTTTTCCCCCGTGTGTGTGTGTGTGTGTGTATGTGTATGTGATATATATATTTTAACTACAGGCGGTTTTTCAGGAGCTCCAGGCAGTGTCAAATCATCTTCTGGAAGTTCAGTGCAGTCTCCCCAGGATTTCTTGAGCTTTACAGACTCAGATCTGCGCAATGACAGTTACCCTCATTCACAGCAGTCATCATCAACCAAAGATGTACATAAAGGAGAATCTGGAAGCCAGGAAGCGGGGGTAAATAGTTTTAGTTCCTTAATTGGTCACCCTGCGACTGCAGCTGTTATTTCACAGCCTAAAAGCTTTGAAAATTCACCTGGAGATTTGAGTAGTTCCAGCCTTTCTACAACAGGATACAAACGGGCTCAAACTTCGGGCATAGAAGAAGAAACTGTAAAGGAAAAGAAAAGAAAAGGAAATAAACAAAGCAAGCATGGGCCTGGTAGACCGAAAGGAAACAAAAGTCAAGAGAATATTTCTCATCTCTCAGTTTCTTCTGCATCACCAACATCGTCAGTAGCGTCAGCTGCAGGAAGTGTGGCAAGCTCCAGTCTCCAGAAGTCCCCCACGTTGCTGAGGAACGGCAGTCTCCAGAGTCTCAGTGTCGGCTCCTCTCCAGTTGGTTCAGGTGGGGATTTATCCAGTATTGTTCCCTTTAAGCTACCCAAGCCTTTTCTGTGCCCTGGAGAAAGTTCTATACAGTTGTTACGATAATACATTGATTTTTGCTGAGTGAAATGACATTTCATTTCATTTGTTTAAAAAAAAAAAACCAATGTTTTGATGTTTAAATGTTTGCATTAATCTGATGTTTCTTAACTAAAATGTGGATTAAGCAATTCACTGTTCATTTATTACTTATGAAAAACCTAGGACTCACTCCTATTTTGGTTTTTTGCTACACACATATGATACTTTTAAATGTATCCAATATAGGGGATTTTCATATAAAATGTGAATGTTTTTGGTTGGTTTGTTTTTAGCTCCCTTTTGCTATAAACTTTATTTTTAGTCTTTACTTTCTAAATAATTTCTCAAATTCCTTGAGTTATTCTGGAACATATTTTCAGTGGTGTGACTTAATAAAAATTTAGTGATCACATTTTATAAGCTGTATCAAGTGATTTAATTTTTGTTTTAAAGTATATTTAGTGATTTTACCATTATAGTACAAGCAAGTTTGTATATATTGTTAGTCTCACCTTTGGCATGCTTTTATATTGGCAGTTTGTTATGAATATTACAGATTTTATTTTATTTTTCTTTTTTAAAAAATTTTATTTAAAGAAAGACTAAACAAAACAGAAAATGGGTAGAAATAATACATATGTTCAGAGGAAAAAAAAACAGTAAGAAATCACTAGTTGATGTTTACATATTGTCCTTTTACAAATAGTTGTTCAAGATATAAAAGTGAAACATATAAAGTAGGAATTCAGACAGCGAGACTGCAAACAGTTCTGTTCAACTGTCCAACAAAAACTTAAGTAATATGGTTATCAATCCTATACACTTATACATACATGCAGTTATCATATCTTCATTTATGTTGAGATTAAACAAACTAAAGCGGACTAAAGTCATTCTGAACAAAGAATAATAGTATTGCTGGATTTTACATCATGATAAATATTATAAATTTTAAAAATCACTAGAAATGCATGTTTTTTGGCAAACCCTTAATAGTTTTAATATTAATAGAAATGTCAGCATTTCTTTTAAATTGTATCTTGTTTAGGAAGTAAATAGTTCCAAATACATGATGACTATAAACTTTACCTCTTTTCTGGTTATAGGTTTTTGACTGTTAAAATAAGGAGACTTTAGCTAAGATAAACATAAACTATTTCGTTTCTACTAGTTGGTGGGAGTTAGGAAATGGTGTAGAAAAAGAACTACAGTTTAGTGAATGTCCATTACAATTTGTATTGTATGTTTTACAGATATACTGTTGAATATTTTTAGTGGTGTATATACTATATAACTTTAGTAAACAAATATAAGAATGAAAATTCCAAGTGGGAAAGGAATATATACCATATATAAAGGTTAGATGTGAGACATAGTATCTATTAGGCGTTTAGTTCTGTTAAGTGGTTTATGTTTATTATCTTAGCTAACAGCTACAGTGTTACATAAAGTGCTTTTAACATCTGTATTTTTTTTTTTTTTTTTTTTTGTCTTTTTCCTTTTTATCGGTATCAGGGATCGAACTCACGACTGCCTGCTTGCAAGGCAGGCGCTTATGCTGCTGAGCTAAATCCCCAGGCCCAACACCTGTTATTTATAGCTGATAAAATGTAAGCTTTGAGTGGTAAATAACTTGCCTAAGATCACATGATCAAGAATTCTTTGTTTCTCATGGATAGTTTTGGTATCAATAGTGACTTGTTTGCCCTATTTTATTTTCCCCCTTTGAGGAGTAAGTGGAACTTGTATAAAGATTGTTTCATTAGTAGCTTTATGAGTGTTTCTAGAGCAGGATGATTCACTCTTGGCATATGGACATTTTGGTTGGACAAATTCTGTGTGTACAGTGCTGCCTTGGGCATTGTACAATGCTTACCAAAGTTGTAAGCCCCTGTGATAGGTGCCAGTAGCGTTCCATTCCTCCTCAATCAACTTGCTAAAAGTTTCCAGGGGTCCAGAAATGCCTCTGGTTGAGGACCACTGTTTTAATGCTGAGTGGAAAAAAAAGAGGTTAGAATGAAATATAAGTATGTTGCATGTTATGTGGACTTTGATGTGTTATATGTTATGTGTCTCCTTTGAGACCAAATCCTGGTTGTCCTTTCAATCCTGGTGTCCTTTTACACTTACTTACAAAAAGTAAGTGTAAAAGATTTACTCAGAAAAAGTTTGATTTACATTATTTTTAGCAAGAAGTATAGTAATCACCTAGTTAGATTACTGGGAAAAGTAAGCCTAAATTTGCTTTTTTTTGAGACAGGGTCTCTCTGTGTAGTTCACACTGGCCTTGAACTCACTGTGGGATCCCAAGCTGACCTCGAATTTCCAGTGATCCTCCTGCCTCAGCTTCCTCTGAGTACTGAGATTTACATGTGTGCACCACCACACCTGGTTTAAATCTACATTTATGGAGAAAGATCAGTGATATCTTTGGGTTTTGAAGCATAGTCTGAAAATTCCTGAATTTCAGTTTAAATGTTTATTTCAAGCATATTCTTAAATTAATGGAATTAAAATACTGGTCTACATGGCCTGAAAGGATTTTACTGCCTGTTACAGATTTGGGAGATACGGGAAATAGTGTTTCTTGTGAAATGATTACTCTCAGAGGGCAGTTTTTATGGCACATCAGTAGCTGAAATAACTGGGTTTGTAGTTCTTTTACCTTATTCATAGATCATGTTTAGGGGAAAATTCTCACATACATTAATTAGTGAGTTAAATTTAACTTAACCAGTAAGTTGATTTTAGAAATGGTATTAGAAATCACTCTGAAGATCATAATTTCTTAAATATAGAATTAGATTGCTCTCACGTTACAATAATATATATGTATATATACATATTTATATATATACGTATATATACATATACGTATATACATACGTATATATACAATAATATATACGTATATATACATATACATATACACACACACACACACACACACACACACACACACACATATATATATATATATAAATAATCTTTTTTTGAGACAGGGTCTTGCTATGCAATTTAGACTGGCCTTGAGCTGACTTTGTGCCCAGGCTAGTTTCGAACTTGCAGTGATTCTCCTGTCTTAGCCTCCTGACTGCTAGAAATTACAGGCATGTGTGAGATAATAATATTCTTAATTTTATGTATTTCTATAAAAGTTTTATGAATAGCTCATTTTCTTACCTATAAATTGAGTAGTGAAACATTCCCTTGTCTTGGCTAAATGTTATGGATGTATAGGAATCAAGCTTCCTAAGCATGTGTGAAAATCTCTAACTGCTGTGTCACACACTGTAATAAGAATCGAACTGCTAGCACTCACTACTTAGAACAAGACCCCGAGGGAGAGATGGCACATCACTAAGTGGTGGTGGGATCCTGATTTGAGAGTGATTTATTTATGAAATTCAAGACATTTGCTAATGTAGGTCTAAAAGTCCACTAGTCTTAACTTTAAGCAAAAGGAATCTATGAGCAAACTGAACCAGTAATTTTAAGTTATCACAATTATATTTTTTTCTGATATGAATTGTAACTTTTCCTTTAGACTGATTTTAAATTAAGGAATTGTTTAGTAACTAAACGTTTGAAACTTCTAAAAGTAGGAACGATAAAATGCATACTGTTGTACTAAATCAAGAATTTTTATGATGCTCTTTTAAAAGATTGATTTGCTTTAATGACATTTCAATAATTTAGAAATGGTGAAGGTGACCTGCATGGTGCATGTGTCAGATGTTAAAGCTGTTGTCATACTGCATTCGTGAGACTTCTATTTGTTCACCACTGTGGACACAGAGGCTACCCATCTCTTTTTAAAAATGAATACTGTTACTAAGTACTGAGTGTGCATCACATAGGTAGTAGTATGCTTGTTATTTATGGACTCCCCATGCAAGTGTTTCTACTTAAGTGGCTGCAAGCAAGATTTTTTTTTTTTTTTGTAAAGCTTCTGATACAACATTACAGTTCAGGTAGCATGAAAAGTGATATTAAATTGAAAAGGACCTTGGAGACATTGAATTCTACTTTGGAATAAGCAGTAAAAGAAATTCAGTAATATTAGCAGGAAAAGAGATAATTGTATATTTGGTGGATGAGCCTAATAGGAATAAGACACTTAAGCTTCTGGCATAGTTGGAGGTCATAGTGATTAAATGTGGCAGGGTGGGTTCATGGAGAGTTGAATGCCTGTGGAAGAAATCAGACTAATACTGTAATGGGTTTTCTCCTAGAAAGAGCATTTGGAATTCAATTCTGGTAATTTACCCAGTTAAAGAATTTCTTTAATGGAAAGAAAAGATACTACCATTTCATCTCAATGGTAATATCGTACGTTTGATTGCAGTTAAACCAGGGCTGCTGCATCTCCCTCCTCCAGTGACCTGTCAAAACTTCAGGCCCCTTCCAACATATTTCAAAGATAGCTAAAGTCTAGCACTTGGAAGGCTGAATCAGGAGGACTGTGAGTTTGAGGTCAGCCTGAGCTATGTAGGGAGGCCTGGTTTCAACAAAACAAAACAAATCATATTGAGTGGGTCTCATTAAATTCCTCAGGCTCATCTTGATTTTAATTAATAAATTTATTTATGGTGGGTCTAAATTGAATTTAGGGTTTTGCATTGAGCTACATCCCCAGCCCATTTTGTTTTGAGACAGAGTATCATTAAGTTGCTCCAGCTAAGTTGTTTGGGATCTTTCTGTCTCAGCCTTCTGGGGTGCTGAGTTTCTGGGCTTTCACCACCACACCTGGGTTGCCTTGAGTTTTTTTCGTATTTTATTCTATTTTCTTATTGTTTGTATATATGTATGTATGTATGTATTTTATTTTATTCTTTTGAAACAAGGTCTCACTGTATAGCCCAGGCTGGCCTCTTAACTCGTGATCCTCCCTAGTGCTGGGATTACAGGTGTGTGTTATTACACCTGGCTTTTAATAAAGATTCACAGTGCATAATGAACACATTCACCCATCATGCATGAATGTGTACATGCACATAGCACATCTTAATTATTTTTATCCTTTCTCTCCAACATTTTCCCCTCCATGTTTACAAAAACTTGTTTCCATTTTTCTTTCAATTTTTTCTTTAATGCTCCCATTCTTTTGTTCCCTTTCCCAATTGAACAAGTTCTTCCTATTTCCTAGTATCTCTATCCAATTTCACTATTTATTTATACATTGGATTTCTCACACAGGTGAAGTAACACAGTGTTTAAATTTGTGTCCCTGAATGTCCACTTTGCATGCTTTACTTTTGTAACTTGAACAACTATTTCTAAGAGGAAAATGCGTAATTTATCAACAAGTGATTTCTTACTGTATTTTTTGTATTTATGTATTGTTTCTACCCTTTTTCTGGTTTTTTTTTCCTCTTTAAATAAAATTAAAAAAAAAAAAACTTGTCTCCCTGAGCTAGTTGTAGGTGGCACATGCCTGTAATCCCACCACTTAGGAGGCTGAGACAAGATTACTGTGAGTTTGAGGCCATCCTGAACTACAAAGTGAGTTCAAGGCCAGCCTGAACTTCATGGTGAGACCCTGTCTCTAACAAGCAAACAAACAAACATAAACAAGGTTGTGTCCCTGCTTGTATTTCACTTAGGATTACAGTCTTGAGGTGCATTCATTTACCTAAAAATGGCTCAAGATAATCCTTATTTATGGCAGAATAGTGTACTTCATTGTGTATAAATACATTTTCTCTGTCCATCTGTTGGTGGACATGTAGGCTGCTTCCAAAATATAACTACAATGAATTGTACTACTTTAAACCTGAGAGTACATAGATTACTGCGATCCGATGTCTTTAATTAGAGAAGATACCTAGGACGAGAATAGCTGGGTCAAATGGAACCTTTTAGTTTTTTAAGGAATCTGCGTACTGATTTCTGTAGTGGTTGGACCAGTTTATTTCCCACCCCCCACCCCCACCCCCACCCCTCAACAATGGATAAGGTTCTTCATCTCCTTTCTCCCACTTCACCAGTGTTTGTTACTGGTTGCTTTCATAATGATAGCCACTCTTGGCATTAAGTTTGAATCTCAGTGTTTCTTGAATGGCCATTTTGCAATGGGTCTTTAAATTTGGGGGGGGGATGTCTAATTTTGCCCCCCCCCCCTTTTTTCTTTTTGGTTGCCAGGGGAATCAACCTCAAGGCCTTGTGCATGCAAGAATTCTATCACTGAGCCACACTCAACCCCTCAGGCTTGAATTTTTGGTCCTTTTGTGTCACTTTTCTGAATATCTGGGATTATAGGCTAACACCATCATAGTTGGCATTAGAATCAGGTTTTAGTAATGTGACCCTTGAAATCATTAAAGCTATGAGTTTTAGCAGTAATCAAAATTCTTTGGTGACATTTAAACTTGTACGGTATAGATACTTGTTCTAGTAGCTACAGATCAAATTAAAACTCCTTGATTAGAAAAGGAAATTTTATCTGATCAAGGGTTTGGATTGTAAGATTTTTATTTTGAATTGAAATCTTGATAAATGGTCTAGTATTTTACAGTGAGTTTATATAGATTCAGAGTGGTATAGCCATAGATCAGGAGTGGCAAACCTAGCTATTTGTATAAAAGGTTTGCATCATTGCTGGACTTAAAGTGAGTTATACAAAATACAAAATTAACGTTTTGAATGAGTGCTACAGGTTGTATTAAGCTTTTGATTCAGTTCTTTCCTTTTGGGATTTGAATGTTAGGTATCTGGTCTTTCAACACATAGAAAATTAGTACTATAACATTTGGAAGAGTTGACATGCTGAGCTTGTTTTTCTTCTTCCATGTTTATCTACGCATTATGAAGGTTTATAATTTACTAAAGCAAAAGCTTGACAACATATTTTTCTTTACAAAAACAAAAAAAATTTGATAGTTTAATATTACATTTTTATTTGTTTTCCCTTGGCACTAAGGATGAATCTAAGTCATTTGCACTGAGCTACATCCCAGCCTTTTAAATTTATTTATTAAATTTTTATTTTTTGGTACCAGAAATCAAACTCAGGACCTTGCGCTTTCCAGGTAGGCACTTATGCCTCTGAGCTATATCACTGACTACCCATACTTTTTAAAATTAATTTATTTATTTTCGGGTGTTTTTATTTTTATGTTGGTTTTATCTTGGATTTTTGCTAGGTTGACTAGGCAAAACTGGAATTTAGTTCTTCTTGTTCAGCCTTAACTTCCTTTCTTGTGCTGTATTGTGTCTTTGCAAAATATATGTTTTCCTATTTTAAAAACTCTGCCTCAAGTTTTTAAATATAATGCTGCCTGCCATACTGTTCCTAATACAAGATACATGGAAACTTGTCTCAGTGCTGAGATTCATTAGTAGTAATAAATGTCCTCTCCAAAAGGAGACTTTGGGAAGATTCTCTGGTTGTGATTAGTTTCAAAGAGACTAGCTGTTAATGTGAATAGACCCCCCCCTTTCTAATGAAATTAAATTTGAGCCTTTATATGTCAATTATGTATTTCTTTGTTTATTTATGTGTCTTTCTCAGATAGGATCTTGTTACACAGCTTAGATTGGTCTTGATTTTTTTTTTTCCCCCCCGCTTCGGTACCGAGGATCAAACTCATGACCACCTGCTTGCAAGACAGGTGCTTATGCCGCTGAGCTAAATCCCCAGCCCTGATTGGCCTCGATTACATTCTGTAGCTCAGGCTGGTCTTGAACTTGCAGCAGTCCTGCTGTCTCAGCCTCTCAAGTGCTGTTCTATTCTTTGACGAGTTGAATGTTTGTTGACCTTATAGCAAGGCTATATTTCTGTCAGAGTGCTAGATGAAAGTTCAGAATAGCCGTATTACAGTTTTTTTCACTGAGGAAACCTTTTCCCCCAATTTCAAACAGCTGTCTATAATGTGCCACGTCAGTCTCTAACTGTAGCTGCTCATGGCTTTAAGTCTCAGAACTTGTGTTAGGTATGTTTATGCGTTATTAAAGGGGAGAATTTCCTAGTTTGTCTCATTTCAGATGTCCTTTCAACATGTTGTTTCTAAATGATTCTTCCAAACTGACTGAGGTTTTAAATCAGCACTTAGTGCAGTTTGTCAACTTTACAGTGCTGGCTTGTGCCTTGCTTTGTCTTTATGTGTTATAAAGACCCTCAGAGCGGCACTACGATTGGACTAGATTTTTGAGGCCCACGTGTGGCTACCTATATGAGTACTGTAGTGGTATCGTGAGAGGCTGTGTTCTATATATAGTCCTGGTTGGTATGTTTAGCAGGGAATTCCTAGCTAGCCTTCCTGGTAAGGCATGTTTAACTATGGTGTTACTATCAGAGAAATCCCAGGCTTTGCAGTAAACTAGGGTCTTTGAGTCACAGTCTTGGTTCAGGTTTTATTAATTATTTTTCTTTCCCTTAAAATGCCATACAGAAATTTATTTGCCACATTTAGGCAGATTCTACTTAGCAGTGCTTTATTATTTCAGGTCAATGTCTGTTTTCCTCATTTGGGTGGAATAAAAGAATAGAGTAATACTATTTATTATCTTCACAAAAATGAGGTTTATAAGGATGTGAACTGCGTGTGGTTTAATGACTTGTTTATACTGTTACATATGTCATAATTCTATGAATATATGTTACTAAGGTGTATATATATATTACATGTATATATCTATATTACCATTTTGAAATTGTAATTTCTGTACTGGGCATGGTAGTGCATGCTTGCAACTTAGCACTTGGGGGGCTGTGGCAGGAGGGTTGTTGTGAGTTTGAAACCAGCTTGGAGTTCATAATGAGTTCAAGTCCAGCCTGAACTATATATTGCAAGACCCTATCTACCCCTCTCCCATTAAAAATTGTAATTTTTGTTTTAGAATTTTTTTATTAATATATGTTTTTAAATTTTTTTATATTTTGGTTTTTTTGAGACCAAAATATTAGTTCTGGCTGGCCTTAAATTCACTGTGTAGTATAGACTGGCCTTCAATTCTTGCTGATCCTCCTGCATCTGCCTCTTGAATGCTGGGATTACAGGAGTACAGCACCGTGCCCAGCTGTTCCCTCTTACTAAAGAAGCTGTTTATTCTCAGACATTTGTTCTGCAGATTCATTTGCAAGTCCTTTGGTCTTTTCCTCACCCTCTACATACACACATACATTCTCATGCCATCCCATTCAGAGTTGTGACAGTTCCATGATGTATGTGCTAGTCTCCTCCTGCTTTTCATATTTCAGGTATTCAGATGATAGTTTGACGCACTCTACTGGACTTAAGGTGGTTTCTCCCCCATTTTTATAACCTGTTTCTTTCCTAAGTCATGGCAATTTCTTTGCTGATGTCCTTTCTCTTCCCTTCCAACAGAAATTTCCACGCAGTATCGGCATGATGGAGCTTGTCCAACAACTAGTAAGTTGTCCAACTGGGCTGGTAATCTGGGCTTTTTGATTTTTACTTTAGTGCCTTTTCTAGTATATTATCACCTTTGAATTTCTAAGTTTTATTTCCTAAAGTGTAGCTTATTCCTAATTGAATAGATTTCTTTCTTCTACAAAGGCATATTAGCATACTGTTTTGTCTTGTTTTCAGGATCTATATTACTGTCAAATGTTGGGCAAACTGTAATCATTGTTGGCCTTTTTAGTACAGCTCTTCAATTGTAGAATTGTGACTTCTGCCCCTTGATCAAATAGTATTTTCAGTATTTTGGTTTCCATAGTTGTAATGTTAATTTTTAAATATTTGTGAATTGCTATACATAGCTTTCTTACTTAGATCTCTATGTATATTGAGACTACTGAAATACTGAAATCTGGGAAATGAGACTGCTTGGGAGGGTTAGAGGATACATAGTGCCAAGTTTTTTTTTGTTAAGTATTGTTGAGTGTACCCTAAGGTCAGTTTACTCATGTAGAACTACATCCTATAGAGTCTCACTTTTACCAAGAAATTGCATAGATTATGAAGCATCTTTTAAAAATATAATTTAAAAACATATATCTAACAGACGATGTATTTAGTAGATAGTAGTGTATATTGGTAAATGGAATACAATTATTTAGAAATGTATACTATGTAAAAACTAAGTGAAGCTTGTAGTTGTAATAATTCAAGCGTTAATATCTGACTTTTGAAATTTTATTATACTGATTCAAACCTATGCCATTGTATTTCATTTCTGTGTTTGAGAATGATCTTAACCTGAAGTCCTTTTTTCCTTACTTAAAAGCTTTCTCAGAGTTGCTGAATGCAATACACAATGGTAAGTTTTATTGGAATCTTCTCTGGTGGTTCATTTATCACACCAAAGTTGCCAGTTAAAAGCTAGCATGTTCTGTTGATAAGATGAAACCAAGTGCTGCATGAGTCAGTAGTTCAGCACCTCAATATGAACTTGGTAGGGAACCTGCAAGAGAATAATATGTCTGTCATTTTGGCTTTATTGTCTCTTCCATGAAGCAGAATGTTAAGTGTTCTAAGTTTCTGAAAGTCTTTCTATGTTCGCAAATAACATTCTGTAGTTCTTTTGAACTCTCTCTTGCCGTTGTACTTAGTTGTCAATCTCTACATGATAATTAGCTAGTGGGAATATGAACTTGATTTTTAAAGTTTTAGTTTATTAAAATGTATTGAACATGTAATTTTACTTTTACAATTTCATTTATTGAATAAATGGAAAATAGCCTTTTAAATTGTACCTTGCTTGGAGTCGGGTGTTACAATGGAGTTGTGTTGTTTGCTGTGTTGGTTTCTAAATCAATATGTAAGGCGGATGCTACCAGTTTTCACTTGTGCATTATAATTACAATGAGGAACATTAAAAATGTGAGGATTTCTTCAGTTTTTCCAAGAAATTCCTTATTCTCCAGATCTTCAGAAATTTTCCTTTGAGCCTACTGTTACCTTTGTTGGTTTCTTTTTTTAAATTATTAATTGATGTAAGTCATTTATTTGTGCAAGACTTCACATGATTCAAAGCAAATTTTACATATGTGCTCTTTAAATTTATGAAAGTGCCTGTTTTGTGATTGTAGTTTAGTTTGCAATTAATGTGCATTATGTTTGGATTACTGTATGTGTCAGATGTTGGCAGCATTGGCAGTAGCAAAAGCTCAGTGGCATAATGACCAGGCTTACATAGATGCGCTCTTCTGGCTTTAGCCGGTGGTTAAGATGGGAACCTCCTAAGTGATAGTGTCATTGATGAGTGCATTTCTTCCCTACAGAAGCTGTGCTTGCAGAAGCTTTAAGAACTAGATAACACAGAACTCCTGAATATTTGATATCTATAGGGAAAAGGGATTGAAGCATTCATAAGAATGACTAAACATATTACCGTTGTGGGATAAAGAACTATAAAAACTGAAGGAACTTAATATCTTTTTGGTTCAGGTAGATAAATTTAGACTTGTTCTTTTATTCTGTATCTTAGTATTTAGAAGACAGGTATACTTGGAATAAAGTAGATGCTAAAATTTTGAGTTTTAGAAGATTGAGTTTGAGAGACAATTCCTACACTAGTGTATTGAGATGCTTGTATTTTCTCAGTCACAGAATAGAGAAAAGAAATGGAACTTACATTTCTAGCTGCAAAGATGAGTGTAAGGTTGATACCCAATGATTGATACTTAGCTTGTAAGTCAAACAATAAAATATACATAGCAGATGGTTTTTAAAATTTAAGTTAGTTTTGTTTTAGCTGATAAGAAGAATTATACCTATTAATAGACTATTATTATGTATATATCACATATATACATTGTGTAATGTTTGAGCCAGATTAAATATACCTCTTTGTACATTTATCATTTCTCTATGTTGAAAGTTTTCCAGATCCCTTTTTCTAGTGTTTTTTTTTTTTTTTAAAGACAGGGTCTCACTATGTAGCCCAGGCTGACTTTATCTTGTGATCCTCTAGTCATGGGCTTTCCATTCTGGGATTACAGGCACAAATCTTCTTCAGTTCAGTCTGGCTTTTTGGTATTTACAGCCCATTACTGTTATCTATATGGTAGTTATGCTACTGTACACAGTAGCCCAACACAACTTCTTGCTCTTAACTGTAACTTAGTACCCATAGGTGTTAATTTTTAAGTTCATTATCTTTCAGCATTTTCGCTTTGTTGTGCAGCCAATCTCCACAACATTTCCATCTTGCCATGCTGAGGTGCTGTGGCTGTGAAACAGCAACTCTTCATTTCTCCATCTTGTGAAAGCGTGCACCCTTGTCCTTCTCTTAACTTAGGAAGCTTTCAGTCTTTCACTGTTAAGTAAGATGTTAGATACGGATTTTGCTTAGATGCCTTTTATTTGGTTGAGGAAATTTGATTACCAATGCAAAATTTTTTCTCTCTCTTTGGTACTAGGGATTGAACTCATGACTGCGTACTTGCAAGGCAGGTGCTTATGCCGCTGAACTAAATCCCTGGCCTCAAAATGTTTGTTTTAAGGTCTTTCAGTCTTTGTGTCTTTTGTCACTTTGTGTAGTTGTGTGTTTGCCGTTTCAGCTGTATTCCTTAGTTAGTTGGCATACATGTATTCATAGTATTGTTTTACAATTTTTTTCATGTTGGTAAGGATACTGCTAATCCATTTTGTTCTTGATTTTTAGGAAATTGAGTCTCCAAGAGGTCTAGTTGATGGCTTATTAATTTTGTTGATCTTTCAAAGAACCAAGGGTTTACTCATTGTATTATTTTTCTATTTTTTAATTTTATCTCTAATGTTCTATTATTTCTGCCTTCATCTTACATTGATTTAATTTGTTGTGCCTCTGATTCTGTAAGGTCAGAGTTAGGTTATTGATTTGAGATCTTTTTTTCTTTCTGAAAATAGGCCTTTAGAACTATACATTTCTGAGATTGTTTCAGTTTGTTATAATTTCTTTCACTGCTCAGTTTTTGTCCCTGCTATTTTCTTCTCTTTTATTTCCTATCCCATTCATAGTCCATTGGTAAATACTTTGTATCTTCTTTTAGCTTCAGCTATTACCTGTATTTGATATATTTGTTGTTCATTAGTATGTGCCTCTTAGACATTTCTTCTGTGTTCCAGACTCATATTTCAAAAGCCACATAAATTTCAGTTCATATAGTTCCTATCTTAATTCTGCTTCTTTTGTGTCCCTTATCTCTCACCTAGCCATATGTACAGTAGGAGGTTAACCTAATGCACTCCCCTGATTTTCTTGATTCTTTTTTTGGGGGGGTAGGGAGGTACTGGGGATTAAACTCACAACTTTTACTTGCCAGGCAGGTGCTTGTGCTGCTGTGCTAACTCTCTGGCCTTGATTATCATTTTTTCAAAAACAATTTTTCTGTGCTTATCAGTTTACTATTTTTTACTTTTTTTTTCTTCATTTTATTTCCATTTTGTTTCTTGGTCAAGTCCTACATATTGTGTCATTTGAACTTTTTCAGCAAGTTCTTAACTTTTACTCTATTATTCTGTCCCTTCCTTAGATGCCACCAGAATTGATAGTTTATCTAAAATGCAGACAACTATGTCACAGTTTCATATAGAATCTTCTGGTACTTAGGTGACTAACACATCCCATGAAGTTTTTTATACCTCTTACTTGATTCTTCAGTTTCATATTTCCCTCCAGATTCACACTACATCCGTGTAAACTACTTGTAGTTTACTGATACACCATACCAGTATCTGCAAAGTATGTAACCTAAGGTTTGTTTATATATACTCTGTGGCCTTTTGACTTTTTGTTACTAGTAAAAGTTGTCTTTTTAGGGGCCGGGGATATAGCTCAGTGGCACACTGCTGCCTGGCAAGTGCAAGGTCCTGAGTTTGATTACTAGTACGAAAGAAAAAAAAAGTCAAAAAGTTTTCTTCTTTTCTTTTTCTTTTTCTTTTTTTAATCTTTTGGCAGAACCTGGGGATTGAATCCATAAAACAAAGAACAGCTTATGTATGAGCTTTGTTTGTTTGTTTGTTTTATGGGGGGAGGTCAGCCTTACTACCTAGTACTTGACAAGCAAGCGCTTATCTGAGCTAGATCCCTGGCAAAAAAACAATTTTATCTTCTGCAAAGTTTGTTTTGACTCATTTTGATAGTAGTATGCTCTTTTAAAGATACTTTGGATTCTTATACCCGGTGTTCTCATACTTTCTGTAGTCTGTCTCATTATTTTTGCAAATAATCATTTATGTTTCCATGATCTATACATTAGTCATATTTATCTTTGTGAAACTTTAAAAATGGACAGTTAAGACTCAGGGTCATTTTCTAGAAAACTTTATAAAATAAAAAAACTTTCACTGACCCAGTTTTATTGTTCTGAGGAAATAAATAAAAAGTATGATTAAAGAACTTCGAACAGGCACAGACACTGAGGTTTAAAGTAGACATCTTTGTGACCTTTTTTGTGGGGGAGGAGGGGAGACAGGGTCTCACTGTGTAGTCCAGGCTGGCCTTGAACTCATTATGTAGCCCAAACTAGCCTCTAACTCATAGCAATCCTCTTGCTTCAGCCTCCCAAATTCTGGGATTATAGGTTTGTACCACCATTCTAGGCCTCTCTCTGACTCTTACAGCTTAATGGTACTGCTCTTTAGAACAACAATACAAAGAAAAACGTCACTGTTCTCAAAAATCAAATTAGGCAGAGTGTGAAATTTTATGTGATAAGAAAAATTTAGGGAACTTAAAAAGTGAAGAAATAATATTAACATTAAAGCTGGGCATTGTGGTACATCCCTACAACATTATTGGCCTACAGAGGAAAAGAATGCAGAAAGGAGAGAGATGAAAATCTTTTAGAAAAATTGTTAACTTGTTTTAAGGCAGTTTGGAAAGACAAATTAGTCATTTAAATGTATTTTTTTTTAAAATGGAGGGTGAACTTTAGATGCTTAGAAAATTTTTGGTTTTATGGAGGTGCTTTGAAACTGTAATTTGCTTAAGAGAATATAGATTTCAGGATCTTTAAATTTAACTTTTTTGCTTTTCAGTAGATATATTTAAAATGCTTATTATTGTGATAAAAACAATAGTATAGAAAGATTATAGTTTAGTGTTATTGTCCAGTTGTAAAGTAGCATATTATCTTCTAGCTTTCATTTCAGAAAAATGATTTTTCTGTAGTCTTTTGTTGATTGTTTAATAATTATTTACAGCTTTTTCTTCCTCTTTAGACTGTAAACTCATTTACTATAGAGGTTGTGTTTTTACTCATCTTTACTTCATCAGGTTTCCTTCTTTTTTGGGCGGGGAGTACTGGGGATTGAACTCACGACTTTACACTT